TACGCCAACCCTACTTTAATGAGTAAATGCTCCCATTTTAAGTGTCTTTATGACAGTGTAAAGGTAACCTATAACAAGACCCTTAGTATTCTTCCTATGCACCTGTTCCAACTGTAATGCATCTTCCTTGAAAGAGGGCAACCAATGAGGTCTCATCAGGACCTTGCACAGAGACAAGCCATCTCAGACCTGTACTGACATTACCTCAGCCCAGTACATATTAGAAGAACATTTGCCTTTTTCCCCAATCACTTTATATGGAACAACTATACCAACAGCAGTCAACTAACACACCCAAGTTTTTCTCCTGCTGTAATTTCCAACTAAGAACCTCCCAAGTTTATAGCCAAAATTGTGTTTCTTGTCTCTGTAAGTATGACCTGATACTTGTACTAGTAATTTTCATGCCATTTCTACTACTGCACTCCTAGAAGTCAAATTCTTCCTGCAAGATGTTTCAGCCCTTCTCTGTATTAAGGACTCCTAACTTAGTGTCACCAGCAAGTTTAATTTGCACATTATTACTTTGCGCCAATGTTATTACCGAAAATACTAAATAAGATTAGTTCTGTGTCTCAATCCTGAAGAGCATCCTTCTAACCCACCACTTCCCCTTTCAACATTACCCTTTAATCAGTCATTAGCCAACATGAGAATTCTGCTGCTAATTCACATCCCCACATAACAGGTGTCACCATCTTAGCAGCAATTCTGCTATAAGAGGAACTGTAGAATTGAGCGTGTTACCAGAAAACAATAAAAACCCAAGCTTATAAGAAAAGGAACTTTGTGCTACCTAGTTATTGAACCAGATTCCTTCCAAAGCTAGAGGGAGAAGCAAGAAAAGGAAGAGATCAAATGCAACAGGCTATACGCACAGCTACAAAAGAACTGAAGCTGTTAGTTTATTAGTGGTACTTTACAACAGAAATTTTATTTTGAACATTTGCCAGTGCTGCTTTATATATCTTAGCTTCTTCAAAAATATCTTGCTGTTCAGGTGTCAAATTATACTTGACAAGAGATGATAAAACCAGACTAGCACAAGACATTTTCAATGCTCTTCGCAACCTGTTCCCATCCTACCTGTCATCCCTCATTCACTATTGAAATTCTGATTCCTGCCTGATTGGCCCATGATGCCATCCTCAATCTCCCACTTGCTAAATTTTCAAACAAGCACATCTGTGTTTTCTCCCATGCTGCTCTTCATGTTTGGGGAAAACTCCCCCAACAAAGCTACTTTATTATCACCGTCCAAATCTCTTTGCCATAATGCTTACAACAAATGTTCACCACGGTTACACAGGTAGTGTGCTGAGACCAGCATCTATCATACTAATCAACAGTGTCTCACTATTTCCTTCTACTTCCCCATCTGTTATTTTTGGTTCTGAACACACTAGGACCTGAATGATTCATATCCAGGTGGTTCATAGCCCACTTGATTTGCAATGGGTTACTGAATTAAAGACAAGGCACTCAGCTGTTTGCTGAAGCTTCTACTTCAAAGGGCACAGCTTCTCCCTCAGCTAGAGACCAGCCACAGGGCATATCAATTAAGCAATGGGTCCAATTTTCATGTGAAAAACCCTAGTAACAAAATGGGGTCGGAAGACAAGAACAGAAGACACATTAGCAGAATCAACTTCAGAAACAATCTGCAGGTTACAGGAATTAAAAAAATAGTCTTCAAATGCTGCAATATCTCTCTCCGCATTTGCACACAGGTTCTCTCAATTCCCCTTGGAAAAGGGACTCTTACTTTAAAACACAAAAACATAGATTGTGGTAGCCATGTTCATCACGCAAGTTCAACATTCTAAAAAAAAAAAAAAAGGTGTGAATTGAGAGTATCCAAGATCTTCTGTGCTGATACAAAAGGAGAAAAAAAACAAACAAACAAACCTTGAAAATAAAAAAAATCCAACAAAAATCAGTTAACTTTGCTAGCAGCTTTCTGCATTATTCTTATCATGGAAAAGACCATTTCCTTCTTGCATTATTCAATCTTCCCATTTGAAACACCACACTTTTCTATCAGTACAATGATGAAAAGGCTTAAGGAGAATATTCTTGTTCAATCTGGAAATATGACTGATAATTACCATATTTATTCATACACCACAGCAACATTTTCCCCCAAAAAGTTAACCTTCCAAAACCGAAACAGGTCTCAAGCAAAGAAGCTGATTTTCTTCACCAGAATAGAAGTATAGAGACACTGTGGTGTAATAGCTGCCACTTCTGTCTGGGTCAACCAGCGGCAGGGTGGAATGAATCCAGTTTTAGATCTTTCCCACCTGTCAGTGAATCTACAGTAGCTTTTGGCTTAGCAGCTTTTATAAGGCTTGTCTACAAAGGATTTTCTAATGTAACACTTCTGATACCTTAAGGCTGCTTGCAGATGTTAGAAAAACAGACAGACAGACAGTTCTTTACATTAAACTCAGCACATGCCCATGCCGAGACCAGCACATGTCCAGAAGAGGCAGCACGTTAGTTGGAGTCAGCTCACCTGACTCCTATCTAGATTGGGCACTTTAGTGGGGCTTTTTTGGCATTTATCTAATACCTGATTGAACCAGCTTTAGCTAAAT